AGATTTTGTATATTCTAGCGCTGTAAGTCTACCTTACTTGTGAAAAATATATCAGTAATGGCGAATTTGGCTTTTTTCATCAGTGCTTACTATTCAGTTAAAACTTAACAAAACGAGTTATTCTATTACATCAAAATGAGCACGCTACTGTCATTCGATTTGGCCGCAACCAAAATCTAAGGCAATAATATTGTGTGCAGTACTTTGAAGATTTAACGACTTCCCACTTAGTGCCCAAACAAAAGGATTTGCATAAATTTTCTGAGCTCATAGCACGCAAAGTTGAATTATTTCTATTTTGATACAACCTGTACAGTTCCGCTATAAATCAATACATATAACGCTTGTAATTATCCATGCACTATATAGAGATACACTGCTGGAATAGCACTTTGTAAAGATGGGTTTACCGCCCCAACAAGCTATTAAATCAATCTGATTTGAAAAGAGTCATTACCGCAATTTAACAAATCTTTCATCCTGATTTGCATAACAGTATTGCATGAGAAGAAGCCATATTGTTATTAAGGAAGCGTGACGTCTCGCCCTAGCGGCACGTATATTTTTTCGACCTCATGTCCATTCGGCGAAGAAACGACAGCGTATAGAAGGCTGACAGTTCCCATTAGTTCTTCTTCAAAAGTTTAACACAGCCGTTCAGATTGAAATTTACTGACAGAGTGCGATTTTAGATTATGACACAATTTAGCTTTAGAACGAAATCGTACGAAATTAACCATTATATATATAGTGTGTATAAAAAAAGGCAATCCGACTTTGACATGTTATCGTGCGTTAATTAATACATCAATACGACAATAGGCTTTCTTTTTCGTATTCATAAAGATCCAGCTTTTAGCTGTCAAATGACACGATTTAAAGTGTCGGTTGAATTCACATTTTCCCACCAATTTTCCAACATGCAAATGTAAGTTGTTGTTGCCCATTTGGGAAACGTATATGCCATTGTGAGTCCAGTCTGCAAGCTTCCAGTGTTGTAAAGTGTTTTAGCCACTCAATTTCGATGTAGACTATTAATGGCGAGTAAAAGTTTATCAAAACTCGATCTTACGCATGCTTTACGTCATGTTTATTGAAGGACTTCAATTTGAATCCCAAATAAATAAAATCAAAATGAGAATATTTCAATACTTAGGCCCCGTTTACATGAGACCAGAACGAAGGCCCGACTGACTTCAGACCGGCATGAATTCAAACCGGGATGAATGTAAACACAAATACATTTCAGGCCGGTCTGGGCTGTAACTTTGACATTGGAACAACACATGCTAACAAAAGCCATATATTTGTGTGTGTTGGTGTTATGTACTCAGGTAAATATGATGTTTGTGATGTTACTCTGAGTGTGCATCCACACTGAAATGTTTGCTTGGCCACCGTGGGAAATGGGAATCGAACCCGCGACCTTTGGGATACTAGTAGAAAAGCCATAAAAAAAAGAAAATTGCCTAGCATGCAAGGGGGGAATAAATTGAAATTTTTTTTATTTTCGTACCATTCGTATCGTATCATTTTAAGTATTATAAAAATCGTTTCGTTTCCATAGCTTAATGATACAGTCATTATTTATTAACGTTATCTTCTACAAAGCTGGTCAAAACCAAACGCCAAAGTATGCTAAACTTATCATTTTAAGTATTATAAAAATCGTTTCGTTTCCATAGCTTAATGATACAGTCATTATTTATTAACGTTATCTTCTACAAAGCTGGTCAAAACCAAACGCCAAAGTATGCTAAACTTATCATTTTAAGTATTATAAAAATCGTTTCGTTTCCATAGCTTAATGATACAGTCATTATTTATTAACGTTATCTTCTACAAAGCTGGTCAAAACCAAACGCCAAAGTATGCTAAACTTATCATTTTAAGTATTATAAAAATCGTTTCGTTTCCATAGCTTAATGATACAGTCATTATTTATTAACGTTATCTTCTACAAAGCTGGTCAAAACCAAACGCCAAAGTATGCTAAACTTATCATTTTAAGTATTATAAAAATCGTTTCGTTTCCATAGCTTAATGATACAGTCATTATTTATTAACGTTATCTTCTACAAAGCTGGTCAAAACCAAACGCCAAAGTATGCTAAACTTATCATTTTAAGTATTATAAAAATCGTTTCGTTTCCATAGCTTAATGATACAGTCATTATTTATTAACGTTATCTTCTACAAAGCTGGTCAAAACCAAACGCCAAAGTATGCTAAACTTATCATTTTAAGTATTATAAAAATCGTTTCGTTTCCATAGCTTAATGATACAGTCATTATTTATTAACGTTATCTTCTACAAAGCTGGTCAAAACCAAACGCCAAAGTATGCTAAACTTTAGCTCTTGACCTAATTCTCGTCAGTATTGCAATTCAATGGAGAATTTTGACACACTAAAAAATTACGCAAACTAATATTATAAATGTTGAGAAAAATTTCTAGAAATTTGGTTTTAGTAGAAGCTAGCTTCACGATTTCCGAGCCTAAAGATCAAGTGAGCTATAATTTTTTAGGGGGGCGGGGGGGGGGGGGA